TATCGGGAAGTTGAAAGGTCATCTTGTAATTCTATCTTTAAAAATTTTATGATATTTGATTGCTTCTATAAAGAAAGGTAGAAAATGTGATATTAGGGATGAGTTTTGAAGTATAAGTAATGGCTAATGAAATAATGTCCGGAAAGGGAGAGAGGATTGTAGCGCAGAGAAGTCAAGTCCACTCTATCCGTTAGTATCTATTGGCAGGACCATTGTCATCCAATAGCTCCTCCTTTCCTTCTACCTCTGCTGACCACATAGGCATTCAATTCATTCATTTATTCCAAGCCAATTTCATGTCCTAGGCTACATTCTAGGCTACCTTTGAATAAATAAATTTCAAATTTATCTTCTGAATATCTCCGATTGTTGACAAACAACTTTGTTATTTCTGAAATTTATGACATTAATGTGATTTATGGTTGGAAAGATTTTGAAAATTGCTCTTTATCTTTTTCTTCATTTCTTATAAATTATTATTATTCATTTATGGTAACAGTTGTAAGGTAAAATTTCATTTTCACTTTTATTCATTGAATCTTTCAATTCATTTATTTTTTTTCGGTTTTCTTGAAATCATCATCAATAACAATTTTCACTTATATGAGGATATTTTATTCAAGTACAAGATCTATATATAGCTAAAACATCTTCATAAAATCGGTCGCATATCTTAGACCACTATTTTCTCTGATTGTCCTAAACTTCGACCTCTTACACATTTTTCTAACTAATTTAGGATCGAATTTCTAGCATATGTTTATTTGTTTTGTTTTCCTTGTATATATACGGCTTATCATAACTTCCTTCGTTTACTATAATCTATTTCATTGCTGTCAACACAAGAATTCAAAAAATTACCGGTGACATCTTCCTCTTCTTCACTTTCTGGTTTAAATCTTAGCTTCATTTTATTTATTGGCCATGTTAAAACTTAAATTGGCTATATAATATAAGAAAAATCCGATTTAATTTATTGCGTTACTCTAATAGCCATTTCTTTCCGGATTTCTTAATTGCATATTCAGATTCTAAAAGCAACAGACGGTATCTATCAATATTTCTTAATTTTGCTACCTCTCCCTCTCTCTCTCTCCAATATAAAGTACATAGTTTAGTTCATTTGAATAAGACATCTTCGGGAAAAAAGTAGTAAATTCATATAATTAAAAAAAACGATGCAATTTCAGGATTTTCTGTTTTCTTGAAGTGGAATTATTTTATTTCGGTTATGGATTATATGGTGCCTTGACGCATTATTCTGCCATAAATCCACTGCTATTACTTTTTTTCCTACCAAATTTATTTCATCTTCTAATTATGTTTGTGGTTGTCGAATTGCAAAAATTTGCTATTTCTATCACCGATACTATTATTATCAACCTGATACTGCCATTTAATTATGTCACATTTCATATCACAAATTTATTCCACTTAGAATAAAACAACAACAACAACAACAAAAAATGCTACATTTTTTGCATTTATTTCTTCTGCAACATATAATTTATTTGCTACCAAATGGCGGATGTTATCAAAATAAGGTAATAATTTTTTCTTTCCTTTTTAAAATTAAATTTCTAAAAGATAACATCGGATCTTCGGAATATTTATTATCTTGATAAGCACTAATTACTTATTCTGATATCATTGATAATGAAATGATTGTATCGTTATTGCATAGCACAAAATTTGATGATACTTAAATAAGTGATTTGAAGAATTTAGTTGTTGGAGATTTTTAAAGATTACTTACTTCTTGAAATTGTTGTACTCATTTCTTAACTGATTACAATCCTATCGGTATAGTTTATTGCTAATAATTCAAATATAGTTTATTAAGCTCAAAAAATAAAACCACCAACGACGATAAAGGTATTTTCAATGAATCTATCTGATATTTCATTTCATTTCATTTCATTTCAGAATATCATCAATTCCATCCATCAAAAATATCCATTTCATTTTTTTCCTCTTTTTTTTGAAAAGCTATTAAATGTGAACCAATAATTCAAAAATTTTCATTCTAAGTTAAAAAAATAAGGGTTGGAATTTCGAAATTTCACATTAAATTTATGATTGAAAATTAAAAAAAGCTCGCCGCATAATTTGTGACAAAAAATTTACTAACAAATTTTAATTTATTATATAAAAAATATAATAACAACAATGAAGTATGAATGATATTATATTAGTAAATAGTATAGCGGAAATATTTCGTCATATTTTGAATTCATATTTTTGACCAAAATATTTTTAATATTAAAATAATGCATTTGATTAAATTACAAAAAATGACGATACTAACTATATCATTGAGTGATTTATTTTTCATCATTGTATCGGTCATCTGTCCCTTCACTCTGTCAAGGTGTAATTTTCTAGAGGTATGAGAAACAAAGAAGTATATGATCGATGTTTGTTTCATTATTGATTTTACTTTTTTGCTGTTAAATATCAGTGACCGATAAAGTGAATAAGATGTCGGTATTTCTTTTAAAAAGATATTCTTCCTCTTCTTGCATGTTAAGAAAGCATTAATTATGTATATAATATATTGGAAATGGTCCAATCTTTTTACTATTTCTCCGTTACTGATCTGACATTTACCTGTAGGGTGAGGTCAAAGGGATAGCAATTTACTGCAAATTACCATATGCAAGAAGGATAAAAGGGGAAAGAGAGAGAGAGAGGGAGAGAGAGAAAAAAAGGAAAAATGGTCTAATCTAATTAATACTCATCGACTACATGCATATTGTTTAAGAGTAAAAATTATGATTAGTATAAATGAGTAAATAAGTTGATGAGCGAAAGAAAATTCACATCACTAAAGTTTAAAGTTTCATTTTCAACAGTCGCAACTTTTGATCTCATAATATAAAAATTAGTGAAATTTAAATTTCATAAAATAAAATTTAAAATTAAATGTAAAATGTATAAATGTAAAATTGTAAAATTTAAAATTAAATGTTAACTAATTTTTCTCAAATCTTTCATATTGAAGAGAAAATAATCGTAATGTGATGAAATTTTACAAAATATTTGAACATTATTTATTTGCCCCGATTTTCCTACATTATTCACCGTTGTTGTTTTTCATCCTTTCTACAAGCCATATTAACACATAACTATTGTAATTTTGATCTCTTACTTCAAATTTTCATCACTTCCTTCAAATTTTGAACTGAATTATTTCCTCTCATTTTCATTTCATCGTCACAATCATAATAATTGTTGTATCGAAGTGCTATCATCAACTAACTCTCTAGTTGTTGTTGGTAAAGATTGTCCATTTGGAAATCCATTTTGCACAATAGAATTGCGCTTGATTGATTTTATAAATTTGAAATTCATTTCCAGAAACTAGAGGAGTTACTCATTGTTGTAATTTAAAAAGGAATTCCTATCTAATATTAAATAGACAAGTAATAATTATTTGACATTAAAAGAAAAATAGCTAAACTTGGGTGAAAAAAAGCGACATAATCTTATGGATCATAAAAATTTCAATTTAAATCCATTTTTTATTAGTTGTAAAATGTTGCAGCTTTTTCAAGTAGAAATTGAATTAATGCAAATAACGATTGAATGAATTANAAACTTGGGTGAAAAAAAGCGACATAATCTTATGGATCATAAAAATTTCAATTTAAATCCATTTTTTATTAGTTGTAAAATGTTGCAGCTTTTTCAAGTAGAAATTGAATTAATGCAAATAACGATTGAATGAATTAACAATAAAGTGATATAAACATAAAAATTCTTCAATGAGCTCATTGATCGATGAAATTCTTATCAATTAATCAATCAATCAATTTATCAGTTAAACATATAAATCTCTTACTACTTGAGTAGTGAAGTGAATGAAATTATCGAATACTATTGAGGTGGAGAAAGGGTTAGAAGGTAATTTATGAGAGGCCTAAATAGGCACCCGCTGTGAATAGCTGATGCAATCGAGCAAAACAAACAGGACAGCGTAACAAGTGTGTCTAATTGAGGTAAGAAATAGAATGAGCATGAAGAGAGCCAAATGTTATCACCCAATTTAAGAAGAATTAATACAATACAGTAATAGTTAATAAACTTAATAAAATTATGTAAAGTCAAAAAAAGGAAAAAATTACAATAATTTAGTAATAATTTGAATAGTTATGTTATCAAGTGATAATCTGTGATATGATTAATTTTATTTCACTTATCATTGTATTTCATAGTTCAAAATAAATTTGATAAAAAAGCGCTTTCAATATTTTCTACCTAATAGTAGTAAGATTGAAGAAAAAATTTTACTGCTTGTTTATGTTATATAGGATGAGATAATTATTTGTAATTATTTCATATCCAAACGAGAAGGCAATTTGCGCATTATCACTGTTATCATTATCATCATCCTATATAAAATTATTTTACCTTTTCACTCATTAGTAATTTTTATCTTAAAAGTTAAAGTTAATTAAGCATATATTAATATGCAAATTCTTAAAAAATTTTATCATCAATAATCATATCAATTGATAGATGATAAGAGTAGCATTAGGCGTTATTTGCAATATCGTAACAATATCATAACTCACTTTTTCTCTTTTGCTACTTTTTTGTCAGAAGCAGTACTTTTAATTGTCTTTAATTGTAAATTCGATTGTTTTAAATTTATCTTTGCAGCCAAAAATTTTCACCGTTCGATCGGATGCACCACTGGGATGGCTCATTTTGGATCTCGTTCAAGATGGATATTGTAAATGGGATGATCATTGCATCTTATCGATCTCAAATCAATCACATTATTTTCAAATTATCGATAATAGGTCTTGCGAATCATTTTTTTGCAGTGCTTATAATAAAGTAGTATAGGAAAAAATAAAATTTCGAAAATTAAAATCATTTCAAAAATTTTGCGGAAGATTTGTTTGATTCTAATAATTCAATATCTCGATCAAATTTCAAGGCTATCTATCAAAAATTCGATAACGGAGCTGCAAGATCGATCATTAGCTGTTATGGTGGAAACTATAACACCTCAACGAATATTCATCATCAATGTGAACATTGTAGGAAAGTATGATATTGAAATCTTTCAAGGAAATTATTAAAATTTCAAATATTCTAAATTTAAACAAATAATTCGTAAAACATTGCTCGAACTTTCTTTTATACTAAGAGACCTTTTAATCTAATTCAATTTGAATAAAAGTTCTAAAAGTGTTTATAAAATTTTATTAGGCTAAAATTATACTTTTAGTTCATCGCCGTCTTTTTCCGCTGATATATATAATGCTACGCTGCGGAATGATGTTATCCCTGAAACGGCGGTTTTATTTGATAAAGAAATAAGAATGATAAATGTGCCAAATTCAACAGATCTTCATATATCAATTATTTCAAATTCAACAGATTTACCTTTTGTACTCAGCTACAAGAAGAAACGAAATATTCATTATGCAGAGGTTCTGACTTTAGTTAACATTATTTCAAGTTATCCTAAAAATAACAAGCTTGGAATGGATTTGAATAATCTACATTGGATTTCAAAATTCTGAAATACCAAAGAGCATTATGAATTTTTTGTAGTGTAAAAATTTTGTACTTTTCTAGAAGAACCGAAGGTTTATTCATGCTTTAAATGATTTTGTTTAAAATTTCAGTTATATATTTCACGCCGTTTGAAACTAACAGATGGCATTTTTCAATCATTTTATATCGGTGCATTGGATAAACGCAATTTGATTCGTTTGGCGGTAGCACGAATTGATATCAGTTTAGAAGAAGTGCCTGTAAGTGCACCCAAATTCAACAATGTGCATTATTTTAAACAAATGGATGAACTACGACCCCATGTGACAGTACTAAGAGTTGCAGCCAAGTAGGTTTTCATATTTTTGATAATTAATTTAAAAAAAAGCGATGAGTAAGTTTGCCAATTTTGATTTGATATTTTGATTTAATTTAATTTTGATTTAAATTTTGATTTAAAAGACTTTCTCGAAATAAAAAAGAAAATTACTATTTTTTTTGATTTTAAATAAAAATTATCAAAATACTTTTCTGATCTCTGATTAATTTGAGGAGCAATTTTGAATTGTTTTAATTTAATTTTCACTTTTTTACTAATACTACTTACTAATATTCTGAATTGCAAATTCTTTTTACATTGGGAATTTTTGAGTTTTTGAATTTTAATAAAATATGGCTTAATCTTTTTGATCAAATATCTTCCTCTTATCCCTTTAACCTTAACCTTTAAAAAACTCTAAAGTTATCCTGTAAATCATTGAAGGCTTAAATTATACAAGTTTTAGAATACCTTCAAACATACATTTCTCTTTCTGTGATCGATAAATTTCTTTCATATAGTATGAACATATATATATCTTCAAGTATACTATAATGAGTGAGGAAAGCTTATAATTATTATATGATTAAAAGGACTACGAGAAGAAAATAGGAGAGGAGAGTAAATTAGGTTTTAATTGCAACGTGTCCATTTTTAATCAAATCCTAGAAGAGTTGAAGAAAAACTAAAATATCTGAAGTATGGCCTTTATAACTATTGGTTGAGTGATTTTGTTAAAGTAAAAAAGAAAAAAAAGATTAGACTTTAAAACAAATAAATTAATTTACATCTCTCTCATTACTATTTTGTAATCATAAAAATGACCATTATAATCAGCAAGAATGACCATTACAATAACAAAAATGACCATATTCAATCAAATGATTTCATTTTCATTAACAAAAACTGGCATAGGATGGAAGGAAAGAATTTTTTGAATGAGCAATAAAATTTTATGTGAAAAATGAAAATCATCATGTCACAATTAATTTACTTTTTTACGCAAGCTGTCTGAAATGGCTGGCATGCGATAGTATGCTTTGTTCTACCATAAAAATTGCATAATTTGATTTTGCTTCAAATAATGATTCTCAGTAGACACATTGTATCAGCAATATATTTTTTAAAAAAAGAACTAACTATATACTATAAATATTGTTCAGAATACTCATTTAAAGATTAAAAGGGAATTTATAAAAAGACTTTATAGATTATTTTCAATTTTGTTGATCTCGAAAATATTTTGGTAGAGCTTTTATAATTCTACTTCAAGCTAAAACAATTAACATTTCCAATTAAAGAAAGCATTTATTATCATCAGGTTTAAAATAATCAGAAATCATCTTTCCCACATTTAATTAATGATCCATTCTACATTATGATATTGAAAGTATGAAAAATGTTTGCATTCCACAATTTGCCGAAAATTGTTTACATATCAAATTAGCGAACTTGATGACCTACTGATGATGGTCATTAGGTGAAAATGATATCAGTAACAGTTGTTGTTGAAAAAATGAAATAATCCATTGCTGATTTACTAGAATACAGAAAAAATAAGTAAGTTCGATTGGAAAGAAGAGTATATCCGTTAAGATGATGCTTAATTTACATATTAGCATATAAGCTTCAGAAAAAAAATTATTGTTTTTTAGAACTTCAAAAGGAGCTGTTGTATATCGAATTGAACCGGAGGATGTTCCATTCGACGTTACACCTTTTTCTGGCGATATATTTAGTCGTTATAGCATACCGAATGGCAAATATTCTTTTGATATTATTGCCACCGATTCATTGGCACAGGTCAGTTATATGTAGTTTAGCATTATATACTTTGACCTCTTTTATTACAAAAATTTTGATGTTTCAATTTTAATTTTTTGAACGAAAAGTACACATTTGACTTTAATTCATTGACTTGCAATTGAATTTAGTAAACGAATTCAAATATGTTAATATTTAACAAAGTTTTATAATTCTAAAATTTCAGAATAATTTTTTAAACTTTTAATTTATACTTCAATAAGCTCTTGAAATGATAAACAAATCGATGCAATGAATATTTTTAAATAGAAAATAGTTAATTTGCAGGAAGCTCGTGCTAATGTTCGGATTATGGTTGGCCCACGGATAGATCCGAAAAGACAATTCAAAGAGCTCAAAACTAAAAATTCACACCATCGGCGAAGTAGGAGAGATTTTGGTGATGAAATTGTGATAACATTGAAAGAGAATCATTCAATCGGATTGCTAGAAGAGGTTATACCCTTTCTATTTCAATTTAACAAATTTGATAAAACAATAAATTCAATTTTAATAAGACATATTGAGTTTTATTATTCATTTAAAATATGGGCTTATTATTCATTTAGAAATTTACGATAAAGTTTGAAAAAATTACTGATTGTTTTAATAAACCTCGCAATTATTGATTTTTGAATTGAAACTTTCTTACTTCAACAATTGTTATTTAATCAATAATTATATTTTTCACACTTAATCAAATATGAAAACTTTCAGAAAATAAATCTTCGTCCCGATGAAAAGGTTGTCTTTGCACCAACAACAACGGATTATCTTAAAATACATGGTAATGGATTAATCGAGCTTATCAAGCCACTAAATTATGAATTCGAAATAACGCATCAAGCAGCTGTACAGATTAGCGGTCTGTTCAAAGGTCAGCCATTATTTGACTACTATCCGAATCCTCTTGGATCATTATTTCATTCACTGCCATATTACGTTGTTATGCTTATTTTGAACATCACAGAATAGAATACTATGAAAAGTTTTCATCAAAACTTAAACATTTAATTATTAAATTTTTCAACTTTTGCTTGCTATCATATGAGATATATATCATTATCATTTTTATCATTATCATATGAGCCAAAAATGAATGAGCAATAGTCTGTCTAATCTTTGATTTTTATATTCTCAATAAAAATATCTTTGAAATAGCCAGCTTACGTTAATTAGCCAAGTTAATTAGTTATTGATAAAAGCATTATTTGCAAAATGTCTAATAGCGTCTGAATTCTAGTTATTACTAAACAATTTCTTCATAATTATTTCTACTGTGAGACTTTTTATTGAAATTTAAAATTTCTGTTTTAATAATTACAAACATTTCATTGAAATAATAATTCAATCTCTATTAAACAAATAGATAAAATCGAAAGATTTAGATGAAATTTCATCTCCGAACTTTTAAAATCATCTGTAATTAATCGAAAGATAATTTCCTTTGTTTTAGAACTTCTAAAAAAGGCGAAAACAATTCTTTCATAATTAATTCACTTTTGTTCAATTACTGCAAAAATTTCATTAAAATAATTACTAAATTTTTTTCCACTCTTTTAAACGGAAATTTTTAGGATACTTTTACTTTTTGTTTAGCTATTATAAATCAAAATATGAAAATCCAAAACATTTAATATATAAAATTGAATTTTCTTAAGTAACAAATATAAAACCAATCATTTCTAGAGAATAATTTATTATATATTATATAACTTTTCTTCCAAATTATTTCCGATCTAAATATTCACAATTACATTAAGGAATATGAACACTTTGATATTGACATCTTATATTAGTCAAATAATTCTGATAGATCGAAACTGTCATCTGAAATATGCAATTTGTTATTGTTATGATTTGTTAATTCAATTCAAATTTTAATTTTAAATTAATTTTTGTAAATGTTTCTGAATTCTATCCAAAATATATAAATATATCTTAGGAAGATGATTGAACAGTTAGAAGTTTGTTATCTTTTTCACAATTCCTACTGCACAGATAAGAACAGGTGTTCACTGTTGGAGGTGTCCAAATGATTCATTATCATTCCATACATACACACACACACACACGCACACAGACCACATACACACTCACAGCTGTTGCACAAAACGATCAACTTTAACAATATTGTCACCAAATTACTGTCGTGATTTTTCTTTTTTTTTTAAAAAACAATAAACAATTATTTGCAGTTAAAATACATGCAATTAATATTATTAGCATGAAATTTTATTAATTCAATTAAAATTTTTAATTGAATTTAAATTTAATTAATGAAATGGAAATTTTTTAAATTTTTAATCCGATTTTAATTCAAGTTAATATTAAAAAATTAAAAAAACACAAAAAAGGTTTTCATACCTTTAAAATATTATAGAAATTATTTTATATTTTATATTTTTTCTACAATTATTTTTTCAATTAAAATTGAAAAAGTTGTATTTCTCTAAAATATCATGCATACATGGGCTTATTTTCGTATTAAATTTCGTAATTATTATTAATTTTTTTACCTTCACTTCTTAATAAATCATAATTGATGACTAATTGAATTGGTAATGCTAAGATTTTTGATAACAAAAAGAAAAACTGATGGAATTAATTAAGACAGCTAAATTGAATTTTTCGTAAGCTGAATTTGAAATTGTCGTTAGTTGAACTGAAATTGTCGTCAGATGAATTTGAAATTGTCGTAAGATGAATTTGAAATTGTCGTAGCTCTAGGGAAAAGACATTATTTCAGCAGAATGAATTCGCTAATTTAAAAGAACCTAAATGTTTTTTTAATTTAGCAACGGAGATTAGTCGGTAATTACTAATCTTATGGGAAATTTGTAGACTGAAATAACATCTTTTCAATACATCTCAACACAATTTGTCGTTATTTAATTAATTTAATTTAAGTTTGCTATCAAACATGCTGTGCAACAAGGATGCATGCATATATGCATGCGTGCATGCTTCATCATAAATTTTGCCATTATCTTATAGCACTTAACAAAGAGCACTTAAATCAATGCTTTTACAGAAGCTATTTGTTGCAACAATGAAATCATTCCCGCTTAAATGCAATATCTGAAGTACTTAATGGATTCTTTACTCTTGAGAATCAAGAGAAAGCAGAGGAATAGACTGAGAATGAAAGTTGTCTAGGAGATCGAAAGAGGGGAACTTATGCATAAATTAAAATATATTGCATTTGTATGCACGAAAATTATTTCTTTAATTTTTTGATAGTTAAACCGAACGTTAAACTTTGTATTTTAAATTCAAATAATAATTTTGAAATTGCTATTATGAAATGAAAGTTTGTAAGGAAAGTTTAAATTTCAAATTTACAATCTTTATTTGCAACGTGCTATTGACCGTTGACATATGGCAATGAAACGTGAAGAGATCATTGTTAGATGAAATTTAAAGTATGATAATATAATTTTTAAGAAGGATGAAATTGCCTAAATAATAGTTAAAGTTTTGCTTGTCCTGTAGTAGCACTAGACGATTGATTTTTCATGCAATACACTTTTAAAAAAAGGAAGCGATCGGTTTGATTTAATTATTGTTAGTCGATGATCGCTTCTGAGGTCAGCAGTAGTGAAAGTAGTAAACAATCTCTAATTGTGCTGCCGAATGCAAAAATGCTTTAATAGTCGTAATTTATGATTGCAATAATGGACCATTACATTTTGTAATGGATCAGAGCTTTTACAGTTTGCAACTGAGATCAAAGTTTAGGCAATTGTGGAAAATTTGAATAATTGAAATGAAATCAATTGAATCTTCAAACATTCCTTTGATAAAAAGATTGGATGAATCGGTAACTGTTAGTTAGTGAATACAATGATGGAAGGCCGGAAACGATTGATGAGGCAGGTGTCGATCTCACTCACTACCATTGAAAGCAATACCTAATCATTTCACCCGTGGCATATACGTTCAATGAATATTGCGTGCAAAGGTAACAAAAATATCGCATATGCAAAATAGCGATAAGTCCAAATATCGCATAATTTCCTATCGCATAAAAGATATTTAATCATTGAAAAGGATGAGGGAAATATTTAATAGAGAATAGATTTTATTGTAAAAAGAAGCAAAGAAGAATTGAGATAATAAATAGAAAAGAAAGAGAATGGACTAATTTATTAGTAAATAATTCCGAAAAATTTAATTATCATTTTTTTCAATCTCTTTTTCTCTTTCCTTTTTTAAATTAATTTTTTAAATTTTACAAATTTCTGCATAAGTAATATATTACTCTTTATGATTGCTACATCACATCGTTATATCAATTATATTTTAGTCAATTTCTCATTAAGATATCTGAATTTTGCATAAATAGAATTAATCAGAAATTAAATGATGCATACTGTATTGTTAATGCAAAGCTATAAATAAGCTTAAGCTTAATTATTGTTATTTTGTTAATTGCGTTAATGAGAAGAGAACAAATGAGAGTTCAGAATTCAAGATCCTCCACAGACAATGAAAATGTATGAATACAATGCAATTTGCATTTTCTTTAAACTTATGCAAATTTGACGGAAACTATTTTTCTTTCGTCTTTTTAAAAGCATTATCTTATGGTCAAATTGTTGTTGATAATTAGTTCAAGTATGGTAGCGAAAATGTTTGTCTTAATCTGATAAATTAACATACTAATCTTTTGACCGGTTTTAAAGCATAAAATATTTCATCACTTCAATTTGATCTTATTTTGCTTCATTTCCATCTGCTCATATGTTTTGCAAATTAAGAGCTTCTAGCCAGATGGGAACAAAAGCAACAAAAGAAGAAACCATAAGGTGATAAAACTTTCAAGTACTAAAAATGATGAATCATATATCAGATGGAAGCGAAACAAAAACATTGATATAACGATTTTAATCAAAATTGATTATTATTGGGGTTATTTATTATCTGTGTCATTATCATTGCATCATACATTACATCATCAGCAGAGATCTTTATTACAGTTTGAAATCATTATTATAATTCTTCCTCATTATCATTATTTCTAATTAGCTCAACGTTTGATTATATTTATCATCAATTTTCATTAAGATCAGCCAACTTTTTTTTTCTTCGCCAAAACTTTTGCAGTTTTAATTTGAATTTTTTTATCACAATTTATTTTGATAATTTTGATAACAAATTATTTCATTCTCATTTGCAAAATTATTTCATTCATTACAATGATCATAAAAGTTTAAAATGCACATTGCTTACTTCAAAATGATCATTACAAATTATTTCTTATCATTCATCATTCATTGTAATCATCATAAAAGCTTAAAATAATTAAAGCAAGTATTGATATCATTCATGTTGATATCCTGATAACTCTTCTGATAATGCTATTATATTTAAAGTAAAGTATAAAATGATAATATTAGAAATTCTATTATAATTGAAAAATGTTGATAGGAAAGTTTTGTTTTTTAATGTGAAATACTATTCGAATTGTTACTTTGATATTTGAGAGAATTATTTTTCATCAAATTTTTCCGCCTTTCCTGCTGAACAAGTGAAGCTTAATTGAAATTATGGTAGTGGTGATGATGATGATGATAATGATGGTGATGGTGGTAGTAGTGGTGATGGTTGGTGTTGATGACGATTGATGGGTAATCCTTTTCAGTGGCAAATCCTAACTGATATAAATAACACTTTCACACCCCTCCAATATACTTCATCAGGAAGGAAAGGAATGGATTGGTATGGGGAACATTTATTGGATTAGAACTGACTTCAAGGTCAAGCGATACATTGCATTCATCTCATTCTGACATAACGATGCAACAATAATAATGAGATACCAAGAAAAAAAAGAATATTGCAATAGGCTAAGGTAAGGGATAGGTTAATTAACATCCTTACATTTATAATGGAAAAAAGTAGGAATTATTCATCGTATCTTTTTTTACAAATTGAAATATGCAAATGTTTGAAATTTAATTTAAATTTAAGGTTGAAATTTAAAAATATTATTTTATAAGTTTTATTTATTATTATTTAACTTTTGTTGTATTAATTTAATTTTAAAAATAATTTTCCTTGAAAATCTATTATTTGAAGTTTAAAGAAAATTTATCTTTTAATTAATAATATTCAAATGCATAAAGAATTAAGGAAATTTCTTTAGTGGAAAATAGGAAATGTATTATAAATTAGCTCATTTTATCAACGCTGTTATTCCCAGTTGATTAATTACTTGCAGCTTAAAAGTAATTTTAGCATTCTTGCAGCGATACTCATTTGAAGATGAAATTAGAAATTTTAAAGAAAATTTAAGAGTAGTATAGTTTGATTAACTAATATTTGAATATTGAAAATATAAATTTAATTATAACTAAGCTATCTCAATAATTAATTTATAATAATATTTTCACTATAAATTATAAATTATTCAAATTTCACTAAATAAATTTAGTAAGTGTGATAAATAGAATAACTCGCAAATTGTTTATTCAAAAAACCATTTCTATAAGATTATTTTTGCTTTCCAAATATTTTCCAGATCATTTGAAATTTTATCCTTACTGATATTATTTCTTCGCCGTAAAGATAATGGAAATAGTATCAGCATATCAGCATCAATGTGTTGGAGTAGCAAAAAGTAGTGCAAAAATGATTATTTACGATGACATAGGTCATAGTTCATCAATGTCTTAGCAAAATCAAAAACAGTACGTTAAAATAAGTAGCAAAAAAAGTTATTGATTATTTTTGGAATTAGATTAAATTTTTGAAATTCACTTTAATCATTTTAGTGCTTCTTAGTTTTCAAGTTTTCAACTTCATAACAAATGGCCTTGCATATCAATCTGAATATTACAGTTCATGGTCATTATCATTATTATTATTATTATTATTATAAAGGAAGCATTAATGTACGGGTGAAATTTATTCATTTATCCTTTAAATTGATATATGCAAGTAGGTATATGCATCAATACATATGCAGTATCTTTAATAGTTACCGCTTTTCTATTCAAAATTTCAGGTGATAAAGGCTCATTAAGTTATTATTCCATTTTCTTTTTTTATTTTATGCCATATTATTAATGCAAAATTAAAGGTAACAGACAAAAACTATAAAATTACTTATCGGTGATAGTTATTACTTACTTTAATTATTACTTACTGTGATAGTTTACCTATCAGATACTATGATAATTATAAAACTATTTTTTTCGAAAGATACAAAGCTAAAAAGTTGTTATTAAATTAAACATACTAATTTTTTTATTCAGAATTTTTTGAAAGCATAAATTATTTCATTGATATTTTTTAATAGAATTATGATCGGATAAAATTGTTCATTTTCCAATCTGTCAACAACAAATTATTTAGAAATTAATAAAATTATTAATAATGGTTTGGGTGAAATTTCAGGAATTTAGTTAATTATTAAAGTGAATAATAATGAGATGGACTTTTATTAGTTTTATTTAAATTTCAGCAATTTATTTCAATGAAGAGTAATGAATGAAGAACAAACAAACTGTAAATATATTCTAATTAATAGATAAATACGCCTATAGAATTTTACACATACATTTATGCTTACTTCGTAGTCTGAAATATATCTCAAATGTGGCTCTGAAATAATCGAATTCATTAACTGAAGCCTTGCCCGCTTCGTTTGATGCTTATCGGATTACCAATGAGTTAAGCTTTTGGAAATGCTCATTAAGGTGCAGTGAAAATTGATGAAAGATAAGTAAAGAAGAAGAAGAAGGCAGCTTTCAGTGGCTGTTATATTGCAAATGAAAAGAAGGATGAATAATTGAAATTAAAGCCAACAAATGATTGGCTCATTTAAATAATCTAAATAAACAAGAATTTTATTTAAATAGTTTCGAATATAAAAAAACATAACAATTTGACTATGTAAATTTAAATTTTAATAAATGCATTTTTATTCCTCTTCCAATAGAGGTCATACTTATATAAGGAAATGATTCATAAAAGTTGCCGACCTTTTCTTTAAATAAATTGTTAAGTACCATAGAATAGCAGTTAAAGTTATAATAATCTAAAATACAGTGTTATAATTATATTAAAAATATCGTATGATTTGTGCTATATTTCAATCATTTTAAATTTAAAGAACACATGTCATTTCATATATTCCATTATTAAATCATTGATTTGATGAAATAATTGAAATTTTATCGCATTTGTCAATAACTATACCCCTAATTATTCATCATACTAAATGAAATAATAGAAATGAATTTGAATTTGATTAAGCTTGATGACAACAACCAAATTTAATTAGACTTTTGCAATTATTTGTCACTTTTATCTAATGGATAGAAATATATTATATATATATCTATTACTCTATCATTTTTATAATTATACAAAAATCATATATACATACTATCATTTCTGCAATTTGAAAATTATTCATACTAAATTTTAGTATCTCTAAAATTATAAAAGAAAATATTCATTAAATTTTTAGCTCGTATACAAATGATAAGAATTGAAATATTGGATGTGGATGAACCACCGATATTTCAAAATGAACCAAAACCATATTGGGCTGTGGTAGGATATGATCAACCTATTGGAATGCATGTTTACAAGGTGAATTTTGAAATTTCGTTTTCTGATAAGCGAATTTATTGTTTATTTAAAAAATGTTAATATTTACAAATTAAAAAAAAAAGAAACTTATTCGATATTATATTCATAAATTAGACATTATGTTCGTTAACATTTATGCAAGATATAGCAATAAAAGTAATGAAAAATATATGAAATGATTCATTTAAAAGTTTAGATCTGATATTCGAATTTGTTTACTTTTTAAAGATAACAAATAAATTTGTTTGAAAAATAAGAATCGATTTTAAATCATTCATTGCAATTTTGATTTCAATTTAAGAGTTTACATGTGACATTCGAATTTGTTTACTTCTTAAAAATTACAATTAAATTTGTTTGAAAAAAATTTTTCATATTAATCAATATTAAATTACTCATTGTAATTTTAATTTTATATAAGTAAAAAACGAATTCTATCAAAGAGATCACCAAATAACAAAATAAGATGAATGTGATTTATTTGTCTCCAACGGCTTCTTTTTTTCCACATATCGTAGAAAAGCAAAATTGCATCAATTCTTGCTTTGGCCTTATCATTTTCCGTATCGTTCCTTCTTTTGGATTATATTAGACAAATGAAAAAGTCATTAATTTCTCGGCGGATAAAAGCCTATTTGAAAAGGAATGGAAGATGTCATTTTAAGGAAAAGATTTAGAAAAAAGGACTAAATTGGATTTAGATAAGATAGGTATTAAATTGGTTTAAAACAAAAGCCAAATAAATAGTAATATTTTAAAGTAAACAACTCAATGAATAATTATTATTTGAAAATACATTGTATATTTTAGGATTTAAAATTAGGAAAAAAATAGAGTTAGTTTAATAATTTCAAAGAGGGAAATTTGATAAAATTAAAACTCTTAAAAAAACGAATTATAGTTTGTTGCTCGAGATGAAGCTGGTGATGGTGATAAGGATGTGGAATATCGACTTATCAATACCGAACGTTAGTATCATCGTTATTCTTTCAACGTGACATAATTGAGTAGTTTAGAATGTTGTGATAATTAATTATGATAGTAATGGGTAATGTAAATTAATCAAATGCTCAATAGATTTCATTGTAATTAATAACAAAAATGAAAAATAACTTCATTTATCAAATCATTAATTAAATTAATAACGTTGATAAATTTTAAGATTTTCATTATACTGATTACTAAGGGAGTTTACCTAATGAGGGCTATCTGATAAGTATTCGATTTCTATATTTTAGTTTCAAAAATCTTAATGATAAAAAGATGAAATAAAGTTCAGAGCTTTTGATAAATTATAAAAATGATAGTAATAACACTTATCATTTTAATATGTCTTCAATTTTTGATGTTTATTTTCCATTTTACTAATTATTTCTATCATTTGCGCCTTTCAAAATAAATGGCAAGTAAAGAAACTTTAATTCGCTATTTGGAAAATTCAGGAGAAGAAACTTTATTTGGATTAGAAAATTTCTTTCAAGTTCTAATTTCGTAGAATTTTCGAATTTCACGATTGTCATTTTGCAGCACCAGGGACATTCACAGTAGATCCGGTAAGTGGAGTGGTACAAACAGCTTTGAAACATTACAAACCCGGTGAAACTTACCGTGTTTTTGTTCAAGCACGCGATCGAACACCAACAAATCCCGAAGTTTCTCAGGTAGGAGTTTGAAGTTCTATTTATCTAACTGAATGAAATTGAATTACACTTGCTTATGAAATTTTTTAATGAATTTAACAAATAAGAATTGATATATTCAGATAAGTTTGTGATAATTTTCTACATTGACCTGACACTAAAATTCCTTTCAATTTATTTTATCCTCTATTTCTGTAATAAAATTTATTTGTTAAAAATTATTTTCTAATTTTAGGATAGCGAAGTTGCAGTACTGGAAGTATATGCTGGTGATCGTGCACCACAGTTTATTGAGCAACAATACACAGTTCATATTCTGGAAAATACTGAAATTGGTTCCAGGTATTACTATTAATAATTTTGCACACTTTATATTGAAAAATATCTTTTAAACAAATAAAAAATACCTTTGCAGGTCTTTCTTTTAAAATTTAAAAAGTTAAATAAATTTTAAGTGATCAATTAAAATAATTTAGAAGTGATCAAAATCATGAAATCATTATTAACTATAATTATTAACTATAATAGAATTTAGCATAATTGGTGTCAAAGCAAAATGTTTCAAGCCAATTGATAAACATCGTAGCAAAGGTGAACTATCGTATCAGTTATATTTGCATTCACCTTCGATAGAGCATGAATCATCGCCATACTTTACAATTGATGCTAAAGATGGCTTAGTTCGATTGATAAGAGCACTCGATTATGATGATAACAATCAACCAAAATATCATCAATTAAAAGGTTTTGTTAAAATTTTCCATCGTCTCTGATAAATTTATCAATGATAAAAACGAATTGTTACATAAAATTAAATTTTGTTAATCAAAAAAAAAAGATCACATAACGGAAATGATTAGAAGAATATTAATGAAATAGTTTATGACAGTCTTATTTATTCAATCATTATATGCTATATAAAATTTCCGCTTCAGCTGTTCCTTCTTTTATAAAATTTCCAATCAGTCTCACATAATAATAGCCTTAAAGCTATCTTAATTTTCGTTTCTGTCAATAAATGAATGCAATAGTATGATTTACATTTAGAATTTAATTTAAATATGCTTCAATTCGTTCTAAAAAATTTTAAACTATATATATATATAATTTCGAGCATATATAATAAGGGATAGTTATTTACTGAATTAAAAATTCAACATTTTAGATATTAGAATTGCTTGTTGACAGAAACTAATTTTTTTAATATAAAAATTAAAGCAGGCAATAAAATTTAAATATGTAAGCTTCAATACAATGCCTTATTCTTAAAATTAAAATGTAATGAGGAAAAGACATTTAATGAGTTGTTTTCAAATATTCAAATAATGTGGTACCTAATCTAAGCCGTTTGGTTAAATCGTTGTTTGATTGAAAATAATCTCTTTTTATCTTTCACTTCCTCAATTTCAAGAACCTTCAATTTTTAAGAGATAAATGAGCTGCTTATAAGTTTTCAATTTAAAGAGAAAAACTTTTCTTATATCTTACCATAAATCAAAATTAAATGATAAAATGTAAGATAAGAATAGAATCCAATTTGAATGAGCCGAATGACTTTTATGGAATAAAGACTGATTAAATATAGTCGTACCTTCTGAAAGTTAAAACCGCACCTTCTAATGAAGTTTAAAGGCCCGAAAAATATATAAAAGCTATTATGCATCTGAACCGCTGATATGTAAGCTGGGAATAATTAAAATCTTAAAATAATAGAAATTTTGTGAAACATAAAAAAATCAACAAAAATTATATGAAGAAGATTTGAAGATATTCTTTACTAAAATTGATAATTCCTTTTTTTCCTCTAATTGAGATAATTTAATTAGTTAATTTAATGACAATACAATTTAAGTGATAAGACTGATTTAATATTTTGAATTTTATATTCCAAGGAGAAATTTCAACTGATAGCAATGAAAAGGAAATATTTGCTTGTTAATTGATTTTTCTTTTTGTGTAAAGCGTAATTTAAAACAGCATTGAGCTTTAACTAATTAAGAGTTTTAGCTTTAATTTTATGAACAAATACTTTTATCGTGATTTATTTAAGATTAACTTTCATAGAGATTAAAAATGAGTTATAGTATTCTTTTTCGACAAGTCAGTAATTTCGAACTAAAACTTTAATAATTTTAGGATAGAATTAAAAAAATACAAAAAGCATTGGTGCTAAAAAAGAAAATAATTTGAATGATGGAATTTTCAAAAATGAAATTTTATAAAATTTCAGTTATTGCAAGTGAAGATGGTAGAGAAAGCGAAGTACCATTAGATGTTTACATCAACGATGTAAATGATAATATTCCCATATTCACGCAACCTATTTATAGTGCTACAATTAAGGAAGATATACCAACTGGCCATACGATCCTAACAGGTAAATTTGATTAAAGTAAGACTAATCAGTAATATTAGATTAAATATATTATAAAAATGCTAATGAAGATTAATTTTTTCAAAAATCCATTTTTTTTGTAAAATTTTTGGCTTTACTTTTTTTTTTTAATTGAAGAAAATATACGATTTATACTTCATAATAGCTATATTAGGCTATTAAATAAAGCTAATTAAAATAAGACTAATTAATAGTATCGATTGGATCAAACATTTTATGGAAATGCTAATATCGGATCTTTCTTTTTTTCCTAAAATTTTGACTATACTTTTTTTGTAATAAAATTATAAAAAATAAATAATCGAAAATTTCATGAAATTTTATAATTAATTGTTTCAGTGAAAGCAGATGATAAAGATGATGGTGAAAATGGTCGAATTAAGTATACTTTAGATAATTATAATTTTACGATCAATGATCGTGGAGAAATATCTGCTCGAACACGTCTAGATGCAGATCAGAATCGAGAACGCTTCTTTATCTATCGTTTTAATGTTACAGCAACTGATTATGGTGAACCATCACTTAGTAGTAGTGCTATGGTAAGTAACATTTTCATTTTATGAATATATAATTACACAAAACACGTATTACACGTGTATCATTTCAAGTATCACTTTACTTTACATAATATATTTCTTAACTATATATCACTTAACTTATCACTTAAATATCACTTAATAATCTTGTTAATTTCAATTCTTTAAACTAAAAATTACTAGCATTTAATTGAAAAAGAAAGGCTTCTTTGATTGTGTAGTTTTATTTAATTGAATTTTCATGAATTTTTATTTTAGGTTCATATTCGTACAGAAAATACAAATGATGAAGCTCCAATATTTATCCCAAATGGTACTTATCATGCATTCGTTGCTGAAGATGCACAAAGTGGTACACCGGTAGTGCAAATTCAAGCAATTGATCCAGATCGAGATCAGGTAGTAATTAAATTAAAATTAAATATGCACTTTAATTTACATCTTTGAAATGATTGTTGTAAATTTTGAAAGTAATATTTGCATGTAAAATTTAAGGTTTTCTATACATTTTTATTATCGAATGGTGAAGAAACATCAACAACTAAATTGTTTGAGATTGATCGTGATACTGGTAAGCTATTTGACAGCTTTTTTTTAAACAATAATTTGTTATCATAATAAAATTTTCGTTAGCATTTCCAATGTTAACATTCGCCAACCGATTGCAATATTTTTCTTTCCTCATTAAATGAAATAAATATTTGTTACTTATGAATGGCTTGAAATTTTGATTCCGAAATTGGAAAAATTATAGGATTGATTAGACTTGGAACGAATGTGAAATCGGAAAATCTTATACATGGAGCATCACGATATAATTTGACAATAGTAGCACGAGATGACGGATCATGCTGCGGACAAGTTGCAAGCATGCTTCATATGCAAACTGCTACAGTCATTATTGGTAATCAAATTTAGAGAGAACAGATTTTCATTTTTAAATTTTAATATTTTATAAACTTTATGAATTGTAACTAATTTATAAAAGATTATATTTCGGAGGAAAATGAGGAAAATGGAGTTTTAATTTGTAGATATCGCAGATGTAAACAACAACAAACCGGAATTTCGTAATTGTGACATTTACAGCAGTATCGCTAAAATTGAGGAAGGTGATTACAAGACCAATGCACCAGTAATTTTGAAGGTTACTCTTTACAACATTTCGTGATTAGCGTAAATCTAAGAGAGTGAAAATAAAATATTTTATTCCTAACTTTTTCGTTTCAATTGAATTTAGGATTTTTCAACACCCTAAATTTCATTAGTTAAATCAATAATTAGTTGTTTAAATAATATAAGACAAAATTTTACAATATCCTATATGAATTGTATTTAGGTAGTGGCAACTGATGAAGATTCACCACCAAATGGTGAAATTGTTTATTCATTATATTATTCACAGTCTGAATCACGTAAACCGTTTATCATAAATTCCGAAACGGGTGAACTAAGACCATCACCATTTGTGCGCTTTGATCGTGAACAAAGAGCGCTTGAAGAAGTTACAGTAAAAGTAAATCTTTTTCAAAATGAAAAATTTCAAAAGTTTGACTTAAACTAAATGAGAATTGATGGGAATCTTAACTAAGGGAATGTAATTTCAGGCGACAGATAAGGGTGAAAGGCCGTTGATTGGTTTTTGTCAATTTACTGTACAAGTTCTTGATGTAAACGATAATGCTCCACAGTTTGATCGAGCATTTTATGAAACTTCAATTTCAAGAAGTGCTAGTATCGGGTAAGCTTATCTTTTGTTTTAAAAGCTTAAGCGCAAAAGTTTGTTTTATTTGTCGAGTGATTGCTACATTCTCTGTTCAAATATGATTCTTTAATTTATATAATCAAATATGATTTTAATTAATTTATATAGTTAAATATGATTTTAATTAAAAAAAATCAATTATGACACTAAGCGTTACGATATTCATCGATTACAGAAAACAATGCAATTATTTGTGTATCACATTTAAAGATTATATGAGAGATGGAAGAAAATAGATTTATTGATTGATTCCCTAAGTGTTTTGAGTGTTTGTGTTGTAAACATACAAATATTGCAATTCTTCAACGCAACTCGTCTAAATTTCCACTATAATGTTGTATGTACAATGCTTTAAGCTTTCTATCTTTTTCCTATTTTGAAGCTCAAAAATCTCAAATGATTTATCTTTAAATTTTAAAATTTCAATGTTTGATTTAGAGAAATTGCAAGCTATCAATTTCCTCAAATATCATTGAATCCTACACGTTTATAATAGGTTCATCAAAATCGCTCTTTTAAGAAAAAATTTTTCAAATCATTATCACTTCTTTTCTCGTTGAAAATTTTAGCTATTCGGTAATAACTGTCTTTGCGGATGATGCCGATGCACCACAAAATGCGCAAATAACCTATTCATTAGCTCAGGATACGTTAGCTGGAAAGGAACATTATAAAGATTTTAAATTTTTTCAAATAATCAATGAAAACAATGGTGAAATTACATTAGCCAGTCAAATTCCATCATATGTTAGTTCTATTAAATTTTCTAAGTATGAATTTTAATTAATTAAGATTTTAAGACATTTAAAACTATGAAGAAATGATTCGTATTTTATATTTTTGTTTTGAAATTTAATTAAAAAATGACAATCTTTTCTGTTTATTTTTTTTATAAAAGTTTTCGGATTTCTGATAGCAATTCTTTTTTCAGAAAGATCGTTTCATTTTCAACGTTGTAGCAGATGATAATGGGAAACCATTTGTGCAACGAAGTGCAGTGCAAGTTGTTGTGAATGTCCATGAGAAGCAACAAAATGCACCACAATGGCAAACAAATGATGAATGTAAGACAGTTGTTACGGTGGATGAAGATATTCCTGTAAGTGAAATGAAATTTCTCATAATAAAATGTTACTTAAAAACTTTGGAAATTGAAACTGGAACTTTGGAAATTTCCAGTTTTTGAAATAATAAAGTGATTCAATTAATTGAGATATTGAAATGATTAATTAATCAAATGAAATTGTTTTAATGGTAGGAAGAGAGGAGAGTGTTTGAAATGTTGGTGATATATCTTACCTCAAAATATACATTATATTTAATTTTAATTTTCATCACTTTCCTTATAGTTTCGTATTTTTCAGATTAATTCGGTACTTTTTCGATGTTTAGCAATTCCGGGCGATGGTCCAAAGGGTCCAATTTCGTATAAGTTAGTTTATTTATAATTAAATCTTTTTTTAATTCATTGTTTTAATAATATTAAGCTTCCCGTAGTTTCATAACAACTACGCACACCTGTCTGTCTGATTTGTTTTATCAGCCAAAATGAATAATTAATATAGTTGTCAGATATATCCATCTATTTCTTATCAGACATATCCATCTTATTTCTTATTCCAGTAGCTATACATTCCGTTCAGGTTGGCGGTCATTCACTCTATTTTTCTTGGAAGTCAGATTAGAGGGGTAATTGAAATGAAATGTTGGAATGAATTGTGGAATGAATTGTTGGAATGAATTAGAGAAACTTGTTTACCTTCCCATTCCACATGTATTGAAATCTTTCTAATTAAATTGACACTACCAGTCAGCCATCGAATCATCGAAATTGAATTTTGCCATGGAAAGAAAATGTCAGAAAGATTTTGAATCATTAAAAAAAATTTTGCAACTGGCAGAAATACCTGTATGATTTCATAAAGCAAATAACCACTTCACAACCAATCAGTAGTTCTTGAATTTCTCATCTGTTAAATTTCATTCGTTCATAATTATTAGTGAGAATTTTAATTTGAATTTATTACAGGATGGCAAATGGTGCAAGTCGTGGTACCAATCATGACATGCATTTTCGTGAATTCTTAGAGAAAACAAATGGACAAGATTGGGTTGTTGTTAGAAATATGGTTGGATTAGATTATGAGCAACAGCAGAATTACACTCTAACTATAACAGCTATGGTTAATTTAATTTTTAAAAAATTAAAATTGAAATGAATTTCTCCCACTACATAATGACACATTTATTCTTAGAAAAATTTATACAGAAATATCGATCATATTCATTTCAATTAGTATATATTATAAATTTGTAAATTTTTGCTTAACAATTCAAATCCTAATTTTATGTATTGAAAAAATTCATATTAATTTATTATTCATTTTATGAAAAAGAAATGCTTGTTGCAGGATATGCGTAGTTTGATAACATCTGATAAGCAATTCCATGTTATATTACGTGATAAGAATGATGTAGTTCCACGCTTTACAGTCGATTTATTCACGGGTACTATAGAAGAAGAACAGACGCCAACAGAATTTCTCACCAAGTAATTATTTATTTTAGCAAAATTTATTTCCTTTGAATAAATTATTATCGCTTATATGAAGAGAGAAATTTTAACGCACTATCAGTAGAATTAATTTTAATTAAAATTTTAATATATTTATAGATACAATGGTGATCCTATTGCTATAGTTAAAGCGGAAGATGCTGATTCACCTGGTCCACAATCAGAAATACGTTACCGGATTATTAGTGATGGTGATAGTGGAGCAGCACAGCTATTCCGGATTGATGAGATAACTGGTGGAATATTTCCATTTGAGATTTTTGATCGTGAAAAAAATGATTCATTCATTTTTGATGTTGAAGCTCGTGATAGTGTTCCATCAAGTTTACCTGGTGCTTCGGGACCAAATCGAGGTGATACATTCTTGATCTTTATTTATCACTCTTCTCAGTTCTCAATTGGTAAGGGCAATTCATAGATTACATTCCGCTCAAACATTAAAAATTGGTGATTTATTTAGCTTTCATTTTCATATTATCTAGCAAAAAATTTAAAAGACAATATCTTCATTATAACGTTTGAAATTTCATCTTTTAGGAAATTTCACCTATTCTTCAAGGAAGAGCATATTTATTTCTCTTCCCTTTTGCATATCATTGCTTCTAACTTTCTTGGCAGCGTTCCATTTCTGCTCATTCAATTTTAAATTTCAAATAATTTTTGTATATTCCCCAAATTCCAATTTTTCTACATTTTTCATCCATTTCAGATATCGTTAAAGTACAAATTTTTGTGGCTGATATCAATGATAATGCTCCATACTTCGAGCATACCCGTTACGAAGCTCGAGTTGCAGAAAACGCGGAAATCAACGAAGATGTGATTACTGTGAAGGCTTATGATTTGGATCGATGTGAGCTTTCTTTGCTAAAAAATACCTTCGAAATCTATAAAAGCATTAGTAATAATTAAAATTAAGTTGAAATAGATAATTAATACAAATGATTCGTGACAACCTTTCTTTAATGAAGTAAAATGCTCCTCAGACATATGAATATATCGTAAATGATAATTCAAATCTTAAACAGTTTATATCATCATTAATTCGGAATCTTTCGGAAATAGAAGAATTAAAAAAAATAGGATAATAAAGGAAACATATTACAGTACCAAATCTTAAATACGACTTGTATGCTATACACGGTGGACGAATTCCATTCGGTGTTCGAACCGATTCCGGTGTACTATTTGTTAAGGAACCACTCGATTATGAAAAGGTTTGACAAATTTAACAACATTTCTAAAAATTAAGGCAAAAAAAGCACTTGAGTAAATCATTTTGTAAATTGATATAATAAACAGGCTATAAATACCGGAATGGATCATCCGGTATACGTCACTTTTTGTTCGGATTAATAGTTTTAATTTAACTGGAAAATATTTTGCATTTCTTAGGAAAATGTTTACCACATGAAACTTTTCGTAACGGATGGCAAACATAATGCTACAACGGATCTGTACGTATACATTGATGATGTAAATGATAATGCACCTCAATTTGAAAATGATTTATACGAGATAACAATATTTGAAGAAGATCAAGATGTACCGAAGACATTGTTTATCGTTAGAGCTACTGATGCTGATAAGGTTGATAAGATTTAACATTTATTTCTAGAAATAAAAAATAGCTATGCGAAGTTTTTTATAAAATACTGCTAAATGTTTTGATGTACCGCTATAATAAATGATCGTTATTTTCCGGAATTACTGGTATAAGCTTATGAAAAAGAGCAATTTGGATCCTAAACTCTCAAGTATTATTGAAAATATATCAATAAAAATATTTGCATGTATTGTAATTCGTTAAATGATATCCCATTAAGTTCTAGACTTCAAAAATATAATAGGTATGTTATTTTAGCGAGATGATTCATCCAAAATCGTTTATCGTTTGGAAGGGCAAGGAGTTGGTGAATTTTTCCGAATTGGTCAATATAGTGGTGATATTGTGGTGATACGACCATTAGATCGTGATCCTCCAGCTGGTGTATCTGTTTGGAAATTTATTGTACAAGCAATTGATGAAGATGGCCATGGATTAATTGGTTACGCTGATGTACAGGTAAATTACACTATTAATTAAATGTTTTGCATTGATAATATTGATATGATTATTCGCTTCAACGTTTTATTTTTTTTTAAACAATTTTTTTCACCGTAAATTCTTAGAAACAAAATGAAAACAAACTGATGCAAGAAGCAAATTGTTAGAATTGAAGTTCAAATATAAACATTTTATATGAAAATAATCTTTTCAACTTTACCGCTTATTCCCTTCAAATTAAGTATTACGTTTGTTGTTTACAAATTATTTGATTTAATTCCTGCTCATATTAATTAATTGAGTGCTGCAATTCTAATTTATTTTACAACTTCAGGTTAATTTACTTGATATTAATGATAATGCACCAATATTTGCAAGTAATTTATTTGGCACAATTGATGAGAATCGCGATCCTGGAGGTAATTTAACGTTAATTTTATTTCGTTTAAATTTAAACAATACTCTAAAAGCAACGAAAATAGAGAAAGATAAGGAAGAGGAAAAAATTGATAACTTTTTCTTTTATGATTTAGATGAAATTATAGAGATTATCATATCAGTAATCATTAGTTTACATTGAAGTGAAAGGAAGATGAGAGAATTCAAAATTTTGAAAGTATTAAATTAAATTTTTAAAATGTATAAGAGATTTTTTATATAGAATCAATTGTATATGAGGCATTCAGTAATTAGATTAGAAATTTTTAATGTGGAAAAGATTCAGTAATGTTGAAGTTGTAAAAAAAGAAATAAGTTACAGATGATGGTGTATTCGTGATGACAGTTACAGCAACAGATTATGATGATCCACGTACTGATAATGCTCGACTTGAGTATAGTATTTTAATAAATAAGGAAATTAATGGTGAACCTGTTTTCCGGATTGTTCCAAATAATGGAAAAATCTATGCAATGGTAATTTTCATCCTTTTTTTCAATTTATAAAAACATTACATTCGATCAATAGTTTAGCTTATTTTTTCTTATAAAAAATCGTAGAAATCAAATAATTATAAATATTTTTCAAATATAGCGAAAAATGGATCGTGAATTACCGTCGGAAAAACAATTTGTTATTGAAGTTCAAGCTGTTGACAAAGGTACACCGCCACTTGGAGGTATAATTTTTTCGACTTTCAAATATTCATTTTAATCCAATCTGTTAATTAATAAAAACATTTAATGCAAATGTTCCATAAATTTCCTTTTGATATTCCTATCTTTTTTATCTTTTAATCAATCAAAAACAAAAACACATCGTATAAATCGTTTGATTTAAAAAATTTCGTTGCATATTAATTAATTGCATCTCATTAATTAATTAGAGAATGATTGATTGGTTGTAAATTCAAGAAAAAGAAATTTTCTTTTTAAAATGAATTGATGATTTTTTTAAGGGACAGGAAATGTAACAATTCGAGTGATAGATGTAAATGATAATGAGCCATATTTTGAAAAAGAATTATATGTTGGATCGGTTATTGAAACAGCATCAGTTGGTTCAGCGGTTATCAGTGTATCCGCTTTAGATAAGGATACCGAAGCCAGGTAAACAAATTTTCGAATGTTAGATATGGAATAATTTAAAATGAAATAACTCGCAAATATTTCAAATAATTCCTTTCAGAAAAAAAACGAAAATTAGGAAAGCTATGATTATTTCAATAAATTTCGTAATTAATTAGAATTGTTAATTTAAATTTATTTTTGGACTTATTGTCTTTGTTTTAGTTTTTAATAAAAAGATAGTTATTGTTAAGGAAAAGTTTCTTTTTCCTTTCAGTGATAACGTTTTTTCATATGAGCTAATGGATGAAAATCAGTATTTTTATATGACAACGGAAACCGGTTCAAGTAGTACCAGCGTTGGAGTTCTTCGAGTTAAAAAGGTTATTTTCCGTTTGAATTAGCCAAATAGAACAGACAGCTTATATCATATATAAATTACGGGTTCACACAAAAATAAAGCTTTTCAATCAATATAATTCTTGACGTTATGAAATTTTTAAATTTCCAATTCAATTTTTATTTATGATAAGCTCTCAACTTTAACCTTTTATTTTACAATTAATCTGTGCTCTTATTAATTGAATTTGGAAATTTAAATTCTAGAGACGATAATATGTAAGCTTTTTTCAGAGCTTTTTCAGCTTCATTTCGGAAAATAACTTTTCATCTGGCTACTCTTATAAATCTCTGCTTTACTTCGTTCACATCCTTTTGTCTCTTTTATTGTCATCTTTTTAATCCTATCCTTATTTTAAGATTTAAAGTATTCATCTTCTTCAAGAAAATAATTACTGGTATTTATTGAGGAAAGATAAAGAACCAGTTATTGAACCTGAAATTATCTCTTGAAAATTTTTAAACGATTATTTCATCTCTTATCTTTTAACGAAAGCATTATACAAATGCCAGTTTTTAATTTATTCGATTATCACGAACTTCTGATAGTATCATATAAATAATAGCTTTCTCGAAGATTTTTACTATTTTCTGTTCAAATTTTTTCCTGAAATTTAAGCCTCTTCTTTTACTATCATTTTCCTTCCCAAATGAATTCATATTCTTGAAATTCCAAATTTTATTACATCATGATCGTCACTAAAACCATCTTTATCATTATCAGCCTCTATCATTCCTCATCCACTAATCTTACCAACTGCATAAGAGATAAAGACTTTTAATGATCTATCCTTTATTTAACAATGGATAGATTATTAAAAGTCTTATCACCTTTCTGAATTATCTTTAGTAAAGGCAAATGTACGGATTGCTTAATTTAATAATTCGGATAAAATACATGGTAGCAGATATTTAGGTGTGAAGCATTGAATAATATTTGTTAAATTACACGATATAAATGAATAAAAGAAGTTCCGGTTATGAATTCTCTCCGGTTATGAAAACCGGATACTCCAAAAATTTGCAAAATTCATTTGTTGATTATCATGAAAGATTTTACAGTAGATTGAAACAGAATCACACCTTTTAAATATTAGTACTCTATCAAAATTCATAATAACTGTTAATAATTGTTACATAACAAGAAAATTTTTTTAATAAATAAAATTTCTAAAGCATACTTAGCAGAGCCGACATTGTTTTAGCAATTATTAATTAGTTAAAACAATGTTGGCTTTGCTAAGTATATTTTTTTGAAAAATAACAATTATCTCTACCATAAAAGAAATGATTTTTGATTTTCGTCGTATTAACAAATAGTCTTGCTTTATCATTGATTTTATTTCGATGATCCTACAAATTTACTATAAATGGATCCTATAAATTTACTATAAATTTTATCCTATAAATTTACTGCCTCTTTTTAAATTGAAATAATTAAATTACTGAACTACGAACAAACTAACTTATACAAAATTTGACCCTTTGGATCATCTTTCGGTATTTCGAAACATCGAATTAATCTGAAAAATCAAAACGGCTTATATCTAAGGTGCAGGGATAAGGTAGTATATTTTGTTTAATAACTGCAATAACTTTAGCTTCAGCTTATTTATATACATACCTATAAAATGGGCACATTATTTGCTGCATAGTTATAGGTAAGCACAACTATTCCTCATCCATTCCAACTATTCCTCATTCATTCCAACTATTCTTCATCCATTCCAACTATTCTTCATCCATTCCAACTATTCTTCATCCATTCCAAATTATTCTTCATCCATTTTAACTATTTCCTCATCCATTATAAATAGGCACAATTATTCCTCATCCATTCCAACTATTTCTCATCCATTGTAAGTAGGCAGAACTATTCCTCCCTCATCCATTCCATTTTGATATAATCCAAACTGAATTAAATATTCCCATAAATTTTTTACATTTTTTCATTAAATTTTTCTCTAAAATATTTTCTTTTACAAGAAAGAAAAATCACAACAAAAATGTATTATTTTCATTATAATAATTATTGATTAAAATAGCAATGTTATATTACAATTATTATTTCTTTTCCATTTAATATACTAAATATACTAAGAAATTATGGATAACTATAGCTATAATATTATATCGGATATTTGAAATTTTCTCATTTATATCGAAAAAGAGATCTCGTTAGTATGATGCAGTAATTTTTCCAAAAAATTATTATTATTTTCATTATAATCATTATAATTATTTTTATTACATAAATTAAATTTGAGATTTTGTTTTGATTGCTATAACTAATGAGATTATTTTTTATCAATTAAAAAATTAACTTTTATTTTGTTTAAAAAATCTAATATTTCTTTTCTAAGCAAAAATTTTATAGCATATTAATAACTATTTTTACGATAATTATTTTTCTATCATTCTTAAATTCTAACAAAACTTTCATCAATCATTTTTCCAAATCAATTCAGGCATTCAGAATAGGCTTGTATTTTTTGTCAATCTAAGCATTTCTAATAGAATACAAAAACCGCCTGAATCGATTATGTGTCCTGTCATTTCAATTGCAATGACAAATTTCGATTTGTTATATCAGATACTGTTTATGTGCGACAATGTAGAAAGAGTGTTCTGTCATTATATTTGGGAAATATAAATCGAACAAAATTTTACTGTTCTTTGCTATAGCGCCTCATTCAGGAAAAATGTGTCGGATTGTAAGTGAAAGAATACTTTTTAAAATGCTTGCAATAAGCAGTTCAAAGATAAGGTGGGAAGAAAACCATTTCGTCAACATAAATATGTTCCTTTTCATTGCTCTTTTCACTTCCTTTACATTTCGTTGATTAGTTGTCCCTTAGAAGCAATTCCGGAATTCTGCAATAGTTGAGAGTGTAGCAAATAGTTCCATCTTTATCTAACTACTTTAACTTACTAACCTTTTTGGCATTCAATAATCCTCTTGAACTAATTGGCATTCTGTCTGAGTGAGCCTTAATTGATGAATGAATCGAATTTTCTTTTTTCTCTTTCTCTCTCTCTTTCCATATCTTTCCTTTCCCCAAATATAGACATCATTCATTAACATATATCTTAATCAGATCCTTAAACTTTAGGATTATCCAAATTGATTTAGGCCTCATCAACAAGAATCTTTCCATCATAATGACGAAATAGGAAATAAGTCTTCCTATCATTTCTTATAAAAACTTTTCCTAACAAAACTATAGCTCTTCGCTTTATCAAATATGATCATTATTATGAATTAAAAAATTAATTAATAAAGGGTTTACACTATCTTTTTTAATTACTATTATGAATTAAAAAAAATTCCAATTACTATTAAAATTCTAATTACTATTATGAATTTAAAAAAATTAAAATTAAATTAAAATTAAGGAATTAAAAAATTCGGATATCTTCGAGGAACAAAGTTTCCCTTATCAATTAATCAAATCCATTTCACACAATTGAAAATAATAAGTTGAAAATTTTGAAACATTTCGTAGTAACTTTCATCTTATGGTGGAAGATAGTTTCTGATATCATTAGATAAAATTGATAATTTTCATACAAACGTTGAAAATAGAACAGATTTACGTACGGTTAAAATAGTGTTGAAGAAAGAAATATGAGAACCTAAAAATTGTTTAATTTTAACATTTCAAAATTAATTTCTAACATTTCGATAATTTATTGAGAAAGAGAAGATAGCCTTTATAAAAGTTGAATAAATATGTCATTTAATTCTTATAAAATTTTCTACATTATTTTCTATCATATACCTTAATTAGATAGGACGATAATTCATGTGAAGGAAGGGTCAACTAAACCATTCGTAACAATTTAGTAATTTGTCGGAACATATTGTCGATGATATTGACAATATGTATTGCCATATGAGATGTGTTGTCCATTAATGGTCGCACTTTTGTTGATCTTTTCATTCACACCCTAAAAAGGTCAAAAGGAGACCATTTTGCAGAATGTTCATTGTGAATTACTATGAAATGTATATATTTATATTTATGCCTAAAATTCAATATCAAAAGGCTTATTCAATTTCACATCTGACAACAATTAATTGTTCAATTGAAAAATAAAAATTTAAATATATATTTTAATTGTTGTTACCTTTGTTTAATATTGAGTTATTGGGATCGGTAAGTTTTCTTCTGCCATTATACCGTACTTTAATGAAAATAGCAAATATCGGTACTGATAAAAAGAAATTATTTAAACTTTAATTATTTAAATAGTGAATTTGAGAATATTCTTCGCAATAAAGAGATAAATATAATATTCTATTAATTTTACCTGACATTTTGTTAATTAATTATAAATACTTTCAAAGAGGGAATTTAAAACTAAAAAGTTTGAATTCTCTTCACACTAACTGAGAAAGTGTTATATTTATTTCATTCATTTAACCTGTAAATTTTAGAATAATTTTTAATTCTTAATATATATATATTTTAAAATAATCAACAGCCGCAATAAAAATTCTTAAAGTATTACCTGAAAAGTATAATTTATTTATTTTTCAAATATTTTAAAGTATAAATATTCTGAAGTAAAAGTTATTCGAAAATTTACATTTAGAAAAATTTTTTAGTGAAAATATTAGTTTGAAATTTGTAGAAGTGATTGTAAACAAAGTTCAAAATTCACCATCATCATTATAATTCTTTTTTGGCAATAATTATTGATGGAAAATGATTTTGTCGTAAGTGATGGATGGAATTAGTAGCTGTAATTTGTCTACGATTGACCTTGGATTTGCCAATGGTATTGTGATGAAATTTCATTTTAAAACTTAATTTGGTTCAAATTCCTTGATTTCCATTATTTTTTCGTATTTGAATTGTTATTTCGTAATATCAGCAGATTTATTTTGCAATTAATTTCAACCATACCTTCTTCCATATGCGTGTGTGTTAAAAATTTAATAATTAAGCTTTAATGATCCTCAGGTATGATATATCTTAATTGTTACAAGTTTTTTCTA